TTGATCTTTCCATTTCACCCCTTCTCTTTTTATCCAGGCACTTCCTCTTCAAGAATTGAAAGTGCCTGCCTGCAGTCTGTAGGGAAAATGTTCACACCTTGGTCTGCACTCTAGGGGACCATTGTACCTAGTTTAACCACAGCAGCTCAGGCTCAGCTGTTTGACACCCTCTGCGTAACTGGCCCTCTGCGCGGCTGAGCCTACCCACGACTCCCAGCCACTCCTGTTTGCTGTGAGCCCTGGACAGACAGTCCCAGCTCTGCTCACTGGACGTTTGATCTCTGTCCCCTTTAATGTGAGTTACATTTTCAAGTGTCATAGGTCATCCCTCACAGTAAATTATTATGGGGATTTGACTTTGGCTTCATAGCTCTTATCCTGAAATTTGGACGATGGTTGCCTTAAAATGCAAGATGACATTTAAAAAGGAAAAATTAAAAAATTATCCATCTTGTTAATGGTAAAACACAAACAGATACAGAACCCCAATCTGGGCCTCCCTTAGGCACTTAGAGTGAGAGCTGTTGACTTAAAAAATAGTCACAACCTAAAAGTTGAGAATTATGTTTTATTCCTTGGACATTTTTAGGACTTAAGCCCGAGAGGCAGCATCTCAAGTTACCCTGAGAGAACTGCTCAAAGGAGGAGGCAAGGAGGAGACTCAGAATATATAGGAGTTTTGCAACAAAGGGCAGGTAGTCTGAATATCAAGAGATTATTGTTAATTAAAGAAAACCAGATGTCTTAAGGAATTTAGTGCTTTGCTATATATGGGATGATGCAAGAGTCTGGGCTCACTGAAATCACTCCTTTCATATGCACCTCACATCTGGGGCCAGCATCCTGTGATTTTTTACATCCTGAGTCCCTCGGTGCTCCCTGTAGGGAGTGGCAGCAGACTGACGGCTGTTGATGGCAGGTATTTTTCTCCTTCCTGAGTTCCGTGGGGTCTGGGATCACTGATGAGTGTGACATCCTTGTTTATAGATATGGCAAGAAATATTCCGGTTCTCAGGGTTGGCTTCTACTTTGTCCCCCACGTGGCCACGTGAAACTCTGGGACCCCCACCCACAGATGCAGGGCTGCCTGCTCTGCGAGGGGCCCCCTGGGGATGTGCCCTGGCCGTGTGCTCTGCGGGGACCACATTGTGCTGCATCAACTGGCATGAATAGCCGTGGGATGGTGGTTCTTTCCTGTCATGTCACCAAGTCCAAGGGCATGATGGCCCCAAACACACCAGCCCACTGGGGCGCCTGTAATGGGTTCTGCAGGGCATGTGGCGCATGTCACAGCCTGTCACGGGGGAGGGTCTTCTCGGAGGGTGACCACCCTCTGCCACTCAGTCACTTGGCTGTGCCATCCAACTGCTCTCGCCTCCATGTGTAGGACAGTTGGCGCCATCCCAAGGAGGGGATGCCTGTCACCTTGGCCCTGGGGACACTCTGATCCCCCGAGGCACTAGGGATGGGCAGTCCTTCCCGCAGGGACTGGCTGTTTGCTCCTGGCGAGAGGGTGCTGCAACTGTGCCTGGCAGACCAACACTGGACCCTGAGCCAAGGCGGGAAAACATCTGGTTTTATTCATGACACGTGAACACTCTGGTTCCCAGATGAAGCTGAATTCTAGGACACGATGTCCCAGCTTTTTGCTTTGTGTGGGAACTGACATAGGCAGGTTCTAATTTTTAATTTTGCCAAATAAGAGCATTAATGAAATATACTCATCTCATATTCTGTCATAAGAAGAAAAAAAAAGCCTAAAATTACTGCATGAGAAGATGTTATTAAATGGAATAGATTTAGCTTTGTGATTCTTATTTTCCTCCCTTCACTGAGGCTGGGTCAAAACTGGTCCAGGAATGGGTCCACTGGTCCTAAGTTTTGGGGAACCATGATTCTGTGACCCATGATCATTTAGTGAAGTTTTAGGTCCTCTTTCAGTCTGGCAACTAGCTCACCCTCTCCCCCTCCTCCTGCCCCTACCACACACGTCTTTGCAACACCTTCCAACAACTACTGGCTCTAATGGCTTGTCCTCGAATGATTTCCTGTGTGGGTATCTTGTCCCTTCCAGCCAAACTGTGATGCTAGGTAAATAGAAGGCACTGAATGGCTAATCATTCGAATTTGTTTCTGTAACATACGCTGGTCTGTTTAGAGGACTGCAGGCTACTGATGTGTGTGTTGTGTGTCTCTGTGTGTGTGTGTTTGGAAGTCAGCTGGAGTCCTCTATACGCATAGGAACATAAATGAAGGATGCGCATTTTTGAAGAATGAAGGGCTTCTCAGGTGGCATTAGTGGTAAAGAACCTGCCTGCCAATGCTCGAGATGGAAGAGACGTGGGTTCAATCCCTGAGTCGGAAATATCCCCTGGCAGGAGGACATGGCAACCCACTCCAGTATTCTTGCCTGGAGAATCCAGGACTGTCCACTTGCCTGGACAGTGCAGCCTGGAGAGTTGCAAAGAGTCAGACACGACTGAAGCGACTTAGCACGAAGCACAAAACAAGCTTTGCCATAAGAAAACAAGCCTGTGGAGTTTTCTCCATCTTCCTCTGTTTCCTGCAAAGCTGGAAGGCTGGACTCCCTGTTTTGTGGATGTGGCCCTATATCTGAGCCTCTTCACGCTCTCCTCATTTTTGATGATTTAATGATTCTGCAGGGTGTAACCAGTAGCTGAGATTCTCCCACAAAATATCAGGATTGTTTTTCATTTTAATGTTTTTTATTTTTAAAAAATCATAAAATATTTCTCAGAGTGACAGCCGAGCTTCAATATTTATGACTTGGTGATTGCTCTAGCAGTTTAGAAAAAAATTTTTTTAAATGAGCCCTCAAGTAAAATTTAAGTGGAAAAGATGAAAATTCAGAATCATGGACTTAAACACTTGAATAAACACTCTTGGCGGGGAGATTTTATGTGCCAGTCCTCATTTCCCTACACTTGACAGTCCTTGAAAAAGGACTTTAATTCTTTCTTGAAAATATATGGGCAGTGTTATTTTTGGAAGATAAACTTTTCTGTATCAACACAACTCCCCCTACCCCCAAAGCTGTCCGCCTGCCCACCCCCAGCTTCTAGAAGTCTCCTTTTGGCTAAAAACCAAACACAAGTGGGGAGCGTGTGAGTGGGTGAAATGGGTAAATGACAGAACATCATTATCTTTGGGATATTTTAAACTGACACCCACACGGCTGACTTATCAGTATGTGCTCAACACCGTTCAGTCGCTTCCATTTTGGGCCATTCTCATTGTTTTCCCAAATGAGTTTTCGGGTTCAAATGTATTAAGTCTTATGACTAAATTAGATTCTCTTTCCTTACCCCAAGTGCAGCTGTTTAATTGCTTTGTGATTTTGTGATTGGTTTCTCTTCTTCAAATAATATGTTTCTCTAATGATTTAATAGATTATGTTATCCATGCCTGATTAATTTCTTTGAAGGGAAGAATAACCTGACTCTCTCCCTTTAAGGTGTATTTAGTGTAACTTTATCACCATCAGTTCAAACTGCCATAAGAGAGGTTACGGATATGCCTGGGAAAATAGACAGCGATGAGACAAATAATCTCAGAAAGGGAATAAGGCAGGATCCTCTCTCCCCATAAGAGACTCACTATAAATGAGAATTTTATTAAACTTCATTAAAATGTTTACATCTTAATAAGACCCGAGACCTGTGGCATTTTATTGTCTTAGTTTTTTTCTCATTCATTCATTCTTTCAACACATCTTTTTGAGTGACATTGACCCTTGTTCTAGGTGCTGGGAGAATAGTAGCAAATAACTCCAAGAAAAATTCTGGCTTTGTGAATTCTAATGAACTTTCTTTTTTTTTTTTTTTAAATAAAAAGCTTATTGTGTGAGCTTACTGAAGTTTATATAGAAGACCTGATTATATATTGCAGCCTTATTATTAAAGAAGCCAACGTGACTCCTCCGGGATTAGATTCTTAGGGGAACATAGTGCAGAGGGTGGTGGTAAAACACCCCTTTTCTCGACCTGGGGTCTGAATGGTAGCCAGTATACCTTGTGGAGCCTGAAAGTGACCAAGGGGTGGAGAGAAAGGACATGGGAAACAGGAAATGTCAGTATTGTTTACAGTAGGCATTGTGACCACCTTCTCCCACACATTCTAAACAGCAGAGGAGAAAATCATCCTTGTGTTTGGTCCAAGAAAAAGGTTTTACTCAAAACAATATCTAAAAAAAATGTTGGACTTGGCCAATTTTGGGATTTTGCAGATGATGAGGCAAAACCTTAGGCAGAGCTGACCTTGTGTGTGTGCATGCTACAGTTCTGAATGAGAAGAAGGCAGAGTTGGGAAATACCTCTCTCATCTCCCCTTTACCCTTTTCTGCCTCTGACTTACTTATCCTTACCCCCAACCCCCATGGTAGGGTTTAGCCCTGGGATTAAACCCCTACTTAGAAATGAGCCACTTAGCAAAGCTTCAGTTTCCTCATCTAGGAAATAAAAATAAGAGTACTAACTTCAGAAGGTGTAAGTGAAGATTAGTTATAATCATACTGGTGCTTCATACTCAGTTGGGTCCAATTCTTTGCAACCCCATGGACTGTAGCCCATCAGGCTCCTCTATCCATGGGATTCTCCAGGTGAGAATACTGGCGTGGGTTGCCATTCCCTTCTGTAGAGGATCTTCCCGATCCAGGGATTGAACCCAGGTTTCCCGCATTGCAGGCAGATTATTTACCATCTGAGTCACCATATATAAGTATAAATATGATGTGTGTGAAAGTGCTTTGATACAATTAATAACAAGACTTAGCATCATAACTACTATTTCCTTAAGGAATGGGAATAAAACTCTGAGAAACACAGGAAGCTCTACCTTAAAAGCCTTCCACATGGAATGGCCATGGGGCGGGTTTGTTTGTTGATCAGATGGTGCTTTTAATTAGATCATGTGTGAGGTTTCACATTCTGCCCACGGAAAGCCTTATCAAACCTGGCTCACTCTGATCCCCAGTTACTCACTCTCGCCAGGCTGGTCCCAGATGGAACTTTATAAGGGACGTACTTCCTGTAGATATGACCGACCCTGGAACATGGAACGTCAAACATTTCTCCTCCACACATCCAGACCTACAGAGGGGAAATTGGAAGTGTCATAAAAGAGAACAGTACATTTCATACAAAAGCCCCCAAATTATTAGCAAGAGTTACACAAAATCTTAAAATTTTTTAAAATCTCTGTATCAGTAATTTCTATTTATTATCAAGTTATCCAGGAAAAAAAAAACACATTTTCATTTTTTTTAATTTATTTTTTACCTGGTGGAAAATTGCTTTGCAATTTTGCATTGGTTTCTGCCTACAGCAATGCAAATCAGTCATATATATATATATGTATATATCACTTTCCTCTTGAGCCTCCTTCCGTCCCCCCATCCCACCCTTCTAGGTCATCACAGAGTGCAGGCCTGCGCTCCCTGTGTTATTTAGCAACTTCCCACTATTTTACACATGATAGTGTGTACATGTCAATGCTACTTTCTCAAGTTGTCCCACCCTCACCTTGTCTACTGTGTCCACAAGTCCATTCTATACTAGGTTCATTAGTACCATTTTTTCTAGATTCCGTATATATGTGTTAGTTTTTCTCTTTCTGGCTTATTTCACTCTCTTCAAGAGACACTAGGTTCATCCACTTCACTATAACTGACCCAGATTCATTCTTTTTATGGCTGAGTGATATTCCATTGTGTATATGTACCACAAACTCTTTATCCATTTACCTGTCAATGGTCATCTAGGTTGCTTCCATGTCCTGGTGATTGTAAATATAGCTGCAGTGAACATTGGGGTACCTGAATCTTTTAGAATTGTGGTTTTCTCAGGGTATACGCCCAGTGGTAGGATTGCTGGGTCATTTGGTGGTTTTATCCCTAGTTTTTTAAGGAATCTCCGTACTGTTCTCCATAGTGGCTGTATCAGTTTACATTCCCACCAACAGTGCAGGTAGGTTCCTTTTCTCCACATCCTCTCCAGCATTTATTGTTTGTAGATTTTTTGATGATGGCCATTCTGATGGGTGTGAGGTGATAGATAACCTCATTGCAGTTTTGATTTGCATTTCTCTAATAATGAGTGATGTTGAGCATCTTTTCATGTGTTTATTGGCCATCTGTATGTCTTCTTTGGAGAAATGTTTGTTTAGGCTCTCTGCTCATGTTTTGATTGGGTTGTTTGATTTTCTGATATTGAGCCATATGAATTGCTTATATATTTTGGAGATTAACCCTTTGTCAGTTGCTTTGTTTGCAATTATTTTCTCCCATTCTAAGGGTTGTCTTTTCATCTTGTTTATAGATTTCTTTGCTGTGCAAAAGCTTTTAAATTTTATTAGGCCCTATTTATTTTTCTCATTATTTCCATTCATCTAGGAGGTAACTCCACACTTTTAAAAGCTCAGATTCATAAAAGTAAACAACCAAAATATTAGTTCACTAAATCCAATTTCCATAGACATGTTGACATTTTAAAAAGTTCTAGTAGAATTTTATTACAGCTGTTGCATTACTTTGGGGTTTAATGGTTGGATGTCTTATTTATATAGATATTTGTTTTGACAATCTCGTGGAATCATTTGAGGAAATAACATTGGAATTTAAGTGTCAATTAAAAATTTGAAGTGTAAACATGAAATTCCTAAAACTGGTGAATGAATTAAAGAACATAAGTATATCCACACTTTACCTCTAGGTTCTGAAACTTTCAGTAGAGTTTACTTAAAAAATCAGGGTTGTGTTCTAATTTCTCCCAACCCCTGAACTTTTCTTAGGTACAGAAAATAATTGGTTAGCAATGTAAACTCAAGACATGGAAAACTCAGGATATCTGTTAAGATGCTGTACTTGTATTTAGCAACAAAAATTAATTGGTTGTATTTTACCATGACTAATCACTTTAACCACTAATTACGGTTTTATATAACAGGCTACTTACTATAAAAGAACTATCAACACATACATGCAGGCTTTGTATATGCTAGAATTTTTAACTGTTTTCGTTGCAAGAAAACGATTAAAAAAAAGAGTTAGATAATGTAACAGTTTTTTTACATTTATTTTTAATTGGAGGATAGTTATAATATTGTGTTGGTCTCTGCCATATATCAACATGAATCAGCCACAGGTACACACATGTCCTTCCTTCTTGGACCTCCCACCCACCTCCCACCCCGTCCCACCCCTCTAGGTTGTCACAGAGCACTGGGTTGACCTCCCAGTGTCATACATCAAATTCCCACTGGCTCTCTGTTTTACATATGGTAGTGTATATGTTTCAATGCTATTCTCTCTATCTGTCTCACCCACTGTGTCTGGGGGACAGGTCTGGGGACAGATCTTTGTTTTTCCCCTTTTCACATTTAATCTTTAATTGCTCCAGCCTCTTGGGATCTTTCCAGGTGCCTGTACTATATAGTTTAGAAGGTTCACTGATCCTGCCAGCTTTACATGATCTGTGCAGAGTTCTGATGTCTTGATCCAGAACCAAGTTGAAACTGATACCATGGGTAATCCTAAATGCATTTAGAGCAACTGAGTATTGTTTTAATAATCCACTTGCCTTCCCCTTGGGGTTCCCTCAGCATTTGTTCACCAGTCTTACTTAGAGTGCCATTTCTCTTAGTGAAAGAAGCTGGAACTGTTGACTGAAAAAATACATGCAACCTAAAAGTTGAGTGCTATGTTTTATTCAGAGGGAATTTTTAGGACTTCAAGGCTGGGAGACAGCATCTCCCGAGAAAAGATGAGAGAGACAGCCCTGAAAGAACTGCTCTGAAGAAGCGAGGGGAGCAGTCAAGGTTATACAGAAGGTTTGTAACAAAGGACAGGTAGTCTGAACATCACAAGTATTCTTGTGAGTTAGAGAAAACCAGATACCCCAAGTTAAGGAGTTTAGTACTTTTCTGTGTATGGGAAGATGCAAGAGCCTGGGCTCACTGAAGTCATTCCTTTCATGTGCACCTCAGCTGTCTGGGGCCAGTGTCCTGCGTTTTCACACCTGAGTTCCTCAGTGCTCACTGTGGGGAGTGGCTGCAGTCTGATCGGTGCCAGATCATGGATATTCTTTTCCTTCCTGGGTGCTCTTGGGGCTCAGAAACTGTCATTTGGAGGGCTGGCATTGAGTATGACTGTGACATGCTTGTTCGCTGTTAATGGCAGGATATACTTCATTTCTCAGAACCACGTGTAAGACATAAGCATTTCTCTTTCCCTCTTCCAATATTTCACTTTAAAAGACATTGTGTATCTGTGTCAGGGTTCTCCAGAGAAACAGAACCAACAAGGTATGCATAGAGGGAAACATTTATTTAAAGGAAGTGGCTCATGCAATTGAGGAGGCTTGGGGAATTCATCTGCAAGGTAGACCAGCAAGCTAAAGATGCAGGAAGGGCTGCAATTCAAGTCCCAAGCCAGGAAGTCTGCAGGCGGAATTCCCTCTTGCTTGAGAATGGCCAGTCTTTGTTCTACTGGGGCCTTTCAGTGACTGGATAAGCCCACCCTCACTATGGACAGAAACTGCTTTTCTCAAAATCCACCAATTTAAATGTTAATCTCATTCAAAAAACATCCTCCTGGAAACATCCAGAATAATATCTGGACATGCTCGGGTAGCCTTTGACACACGAAACTGAGCATTATGCAGCACTACTTACAATAGCTAGAACATGAAAGCATTCTATATGTCCATCAACAGAGGAATGGATGAAGAAGTTGTTGTACATATATATAATACAGGAATATTACTCAGCCATAAAATGGAATACATTTGAGTCAGTTCTAATGAGGTGGATGAACCTAGAGCTTATTATACAAAGTGAAGTAAGTCAGAAAGAGGAAATCAAGTATTGTATATTTATGCATATATGGAATCTAGAAAGATGGTATTGATGCTGCAGGGCAGCAATGGAGATGCAGACATAGAGAACCGACTTGTGGATACAGTCAATGACACTTTGTAGACAAATGTGTAACTCTGGATGTACAGTTGATCTAGCTGATATTTTGTGAGTGGATTAACAAGACCTTTGCATCATTGTGCTCTTTTTCATTTAATGCCCACAACTCCATGACCAGCTTTACTATTTCTCCAATTATATAGCTGGAAACACGGCAGTCTAGAGGCTCCCTTGCCCAGAGCCACATAACGGGCCACATTCAGAACAGAGATATGAGTCCTCATGGTCCAACTTCAAGGTGGCCCAGTGGTAAAGAATCTGGCTGCCAAGCAGGAGACGCAGGTTCGATCCCTGGGTTGGGAAGATTTCCTGGAGTAGGAAATGGCAACCCACTCCAGTATTCTTGCCTAGGAAATGCCATGGACAGAGGATCCTGGTAGGCTACAGCCCATGGGGTGACAAAGAGTTGGACACAACTTAGTGACTAAATAACAACAACAAAAGTACATACTTGAGGCTTTGCTGAGCATGTCGTCTTGCAGCTACAAAACTCTGCATGTATGCTAAGAACATGCATGTATGCTAAGAACATGCATGTATGCTGAGGCACTTCAGTCGTGTCCTACTCTTTGCGACCCTGTGGACTGTAGCCCACTATGCTCCCTGTCCATGGGATTCTCCAGGCAAGAACACTGGAGTGGGTTGCCGTGCTCTCCTCCAGGGGATCTTCTTGACCTAGGGATCGAACTCACGTCTCTTATGTCTCCCACACTGGCTGACAGGTTCTTTAGCACTAGTGCCATCTGGGAAGCCCAGCTAAGATGAAACATGACTGTATTTCAATAAAACTTTGATGACAAAGATAGGCAGTGGATCATAGTTTGCTGGCCCCAGTTCTGTAAAATACACAGTACTTTCAAACACTGAAATTCAGCCATTCTAAGATAATACATATAGGAGGTTGCACCTTCCCCAGCTGGTTGCCATAATGTCTCCTCTGCCATGTGACCTTGGTACCCGCCACTGACATGTGGGACTGTGTCCCCTGTCCTTGGATTTGGATGTGCTTGTGAAGTCTCAGACCCATAGAATACAGCCAGCAGAAGTGACCGAGGTCATCAAAGGCAGCAAAGCTTCTGCCTGGCCACCGAGACCTTCATTTTTGCAGATCTGAGCT